GTACCTGACTTGGTGCTGGTACCCACCAGGGTCCAATGGGAAAGAGACAGTATTTTTTTTTTTTTTTTACATTTATTCATTTTTGAGGGTGGGGGGGAGGGGCAGAGAGAGAAAGACACAGAATCCGAAGCAGGCTCCAGGCTCCCTGAGCCCCAGGTTCCAAATCACAGTAATAGACTCAGTGCCTGGGGTTGTTAATCCAGAGCGAGAGTGAGATACTCTTGAAGTGTGCTCAGAAATCAGCCTGTGGGAAAGACATGCCATTGCGGGACCAGCTGGGGTGAGGTCTCTGGGGTGGAGCTCAACCACTCACAGACACAACAAAAATAATACAATTCCTGTCTCTTCCTCCAGGAAGTCCTCCCTGACTGACGCTACCCTCCAGCTGGTTAGGCACCCCTGGGCTACCACATCCCCTCCACCCCACGCCCCACCAGGCCTCTATCATAAGTCAGTCCACATCTTCAGGGTCCTTTTGTCTGCCTTCCCTCGGAACTGGGCGCTCCTTGAGGGCAGTGCTGTGTCTTTTTCTCCCTAGAGCTGCAGATCGAGCACATTTCCCCGGCCCCGCAGGAGGCTGGTCCCTCCGCAAAGAGCTGTTGAGTGAACAAAGGCACGGATGAATGAATTTTAGCTTCCGGCGATGCTGAGAGGCAGAAGGAATAGACAGTGTCACCCCGTCCTGGAGGAGGGGGCCGGCCCTCAGAATGGAAGCAAATCATCCGAGGGCACCGAGAGGCCAGTCGGTAGTTGACTCCGGGTGAGAGCGTCCCAAGGACTTCTGTAGGACGATACATCCTGGTGTCGCCTTGTTTCTAACTGAACTGACTGCTAAGAGCGCTGCTCCGTGACCCTCGAGAAGGCCTCCCGGCCGGAGGAGAGCCAGCGGGGGCCCAGGGTCTCCAGCGAGCCCGGGGAGCCAGAAAGGGCCGCTTCTCAGAAAATAATGGCGCCCAAATCCCTGTTCACCTTATTTAATGCTCCAAATTTTCTGAGAGGCCTAATTGAACATTCCTCGGTGGAACCCTCTAGATGGAACAATTAGCTGGCCTCTTAGCAGCGAGCAGCTCCCTAGGCAGGCCCCAGATTTATGTCTCGTGGGGAGGCAGCCTATTAGCTGTGGCCATAAATCTCGGGGCCCTGGCTGGCAAGGTGGATTTTAATAAAATCATAGGGGACAGAGCCAGGCTGGGGCGGCAGATTTCCGGGGGGAGAGCCAACACTTGCCCGTAATTAATCGGGACACCTTTGAGCGCTGGGGAAGTGTCCAGGATTTTAATGAAAAGTCAGGAGCTGCAAACAGTGGCCAGCTGGCAACCACTCCAATCTCCCTGCTGGGGTAGGGATGTAAGGAATCGGGTGAGGGGGTGCGGGTCAGCCCTGCCAAGAGGTCTTGAAGTCGGGGTGATACTCAGTGGACACCGGGACGGTTCTTCTGTTAGTTTAACTAGGAACATACTTTCGTACCAGCTGGTAGATTGCTTCCCCAATCCGCTGAGGACCTCCTACTTTCTAGGGACCCCGTCCAGGGATCCCTGGACCTCCCCAGAGTCCAGAAGCAGGAGAGCAAGTGCCCGGCCCAACAAGGGGCTTCCTGATCCTGACTCAGGGCTTCACCACTTTGGGTCCGTGTCCCAGACCCTTCTTTGCCTCCACACGCTGGGGTGTCCCGGGGATCCACCCAGACCCTCTTTGTACCCGGTGCCTTCTCTCCTCTCTGCATTCTTTTGCAAGTCTGGATCTGCAGCGCATGCCCGTCCTTGATCCCCGGATCAGGTACCCACGTGCTCCCCAGCAGGCATCTTTCCAACGCGTCCCAAACCGGACAGCCTCCCTGCCCCCTCCCCTCCCTGCCTCCCCCCACCCCTGTCTCCCTGTCCTCACCTTGGCGGAGAGCTGCTTCACTCTGTGTGCACAGGCCCTGAACTCCGGGATGTTCCTGAGTACCCCGTCCTCAGTATGCCTTGCCAGATCTTCCCCCAAAGCCGCCCCCACTGGCCATCCTCACCAGGGCTGCCCCGCCCCCACCACTTGTCTCGGTCAGTTCGGGTCGCCGCACCAGAACATCACACACCAGGTGCTTACACAACAGATACATGTTTCTCAAGGTTCTGAGGGCTGGGAAATCCAAGATCAAGGTGCCAGTCATTTCAGACCCTGGTGAGGACGCTTCCTGGTTTGCAGATAGACGCCTTCCCATGGGCGGAGATAGAGAATTCTGGTGTCTCTTCTTGTCTTCTAAGGACGCCAATCCTATCATGGAGTTCCACCCTCATGACCTCCTGTAAACCTAATCTCCTCCCAAAGGCTCCACCTCCTAATACCTTCCCATTGGGGGTTGGGCTTCAAAATATAAACTTTGAGGGAGACACAAACATTCCATCCATGGCATCACCATTGGCTTCTGCCTCTTGGACTGCAGTCAACTCCTACCTTGTCTCCCCACTCGTGTTCTTGCCTGCCAGTCCCCTCCACACAGCAGCCCAAGAGAGCTTCTAAAAATTCAAATAAGGTCATGTCACTGCTCTGTCAAGGGCTGTGAAGGGTCTGGGATTTTAGCCTCCTTACAAGCTAACAAGCAGAAGACACAAGACTCTTGGATCAGAAACAAAGAATAGCATATTACCGACAGCAATAGCAATAGCCAGGATATCATTTTCTCAAATTCCTCAAATCCCGTAGGATGAAACAACCAGATCAAGAAATTGCCGCACACGGGCGCCTGGGTGGCTCAGTCGGTTGAGCGTCCCACTTCGGTTCAGGTCATCATGATCTCGCGGTCTGTGAGTTCGAGCCCCGAGTCGGCCTCTGTGCTGACAGCTCGGAGCCTGGAGCCTGCTTCGGATTCTGTGTCTCCCTCTCTCTCTGCCCCTCCCCTGCTCACGCTCTTGTCTCTTTCTCTGTCAAAAATAAATAAAACATTAAAAAAAATTAAAATAAAAAAAGAAATTCCTGCACAGGTAGAGGGATGCTTTACAGGAAAGGAGCCCCAAGCCTGGGGAACCTGAATCTTTTATAATGAGCTGCAAGCAAACGTGCCCTATCTTTGTCCTGGAGGGAGACATTTATCTCCATCGTGCTAGACAGCAAACAAATTGCCTTCTGTTTGGGAGGCAGACACTATCTTTATCCTCAGAGGCTGTTCACTATACAAACATCTTTGAAACGATAGTGTAGAACAAAGGTAATCAGAGCCTCTGATTGTGAGATGTGCAGAAATGCCACCGGCCCATAGAGAATCGTGTCTGCATTAATGATCTATTGCCAGATGCCAATAACGTGACAAGTTTAGTGGCTTAAACCAACACATATTTATTATCTCATTATCTCAGACTTCCGGCATCTGAAAATGGTTTTAACTGGGTTCTCTCCTGGCCGGAGGATTGGCCAGAAAAGAATCTGCTCATAAGCTCGTGCGATTATTGGCAGAATTCAGTTCCTTATGGTTGTAGGACAGAGGGTTTCTGATTCTAGCTGACTGGAGCTTGGATGCTGTCCTCAGCTCCTAGAGGTCGTCGGCAGGTCCCTGCCCAAACTTGGGCTTCCCCAAAATGGACGCACGCCTCATCAGAGCCAGCAGGGGGGGAGCCGCTTAGCAAGGTGCATGTTACAATCTTACGTACGCGGATCACATACAGGTAATCAGGTATATTCCTCATCAGCTTTGAATGTTCAGTTGGTTAGAAGGAGGTCACAGGTTATTCCCACACTCGGGAGGAGGGGAATACACAAGAGTCGGGGGTGGGGATCGTGGGGCCGCCTTGACTGCCTATCGCCACAGTCTTCCAGCATCCCCTGCTTAAAATAAGGGGACGGGTGCAGGAATTATATTTCAATTAAAAAAAATACAATGGCTTCTCACTATCTAGGATCAAACCCAACCTCCTTATACCGCTTTGTCAGGGTCTATAGACTCTGCCCCCTGCCTGTACCTCGGACCTCACCCCCTAAGGCCCTCTTCCTCACTCATTCCAACCATACGGCCTTGTGTTTCCCAAACAAACCAGCCTCTTTCCTGCCTTCACGCACGCTGTTCCTTCTGCTGCAACACTGTTCCCCTCCCTTCCACGGCCGACTCCCTCACTCTCTTCAGCCGGTCTGTTCCAGACCAGCACCACTGAGTGTGGTCAACTCCTACTTTGTCTCCTCGCTCCCTTCCCTGTCCCCTGTCCCCTCTGCACAGCAGCCCAAGGCAGCACACGTGTCACTCCCCACTTCAGCCTCCAGCCAACCCGACGACCACGTGTGCTGCTGTTGGCCCATTTTCCAAGGAGGAAACTGAGGCACAGAGGTGAAACGATTTGCTTGTGGCCACACAGGTGGTTGGCCTCAAAGGTGACGCTCCTCCTCACAGACTCCTCGGGCCTTGGCTCTACGTGCTGTCTGTCCCCGTCTAGACCCGTCTTCTCCACGGACCTTTTTGATTTCCGCCTCCCAAGGCCTGTGCTCTCCTCAGAACAGGACCGTGGCTCCCTTGCCCACCAGTGCCTGGCACACAGTAGGTGCTCCACAATGATGTATTCACTTGAATCCACTCTGTTCTCAGCAGATAGTGGATGGAAAACCACCGTGGAAACCACGTGGGGCCTGCGTGGGTTTGAGATTAGCCAAGGTTCTCTTCCCCAGGAAGGGATCCGCTCTTGACTCAGGGGGGAATCCCTGGAACCCTACCTGGTATTCGGCATTTTCTCTGTCACTCCCTCACTACAAGGGGGGGGGGGGAGGGGGCTCACAGTGCTGGAGTAGAGCCCGGATTTGGCGTCTGCCCCCAGTTGTCATGCGTGGGATCCATCCCCCATGAGTCTCCGGCGGTTCATCTGTAAGGCTGGGATGCGGTGCCGGTGTCCAGAAACCTGTCCCCGAGCAGGTGGGCAGAAAGCTGCCGTCAGCATCTCCTAGAGCAGCGTCCTGGCCCGATGCCAGACCAGGACGCTCAGGTGAGTCATTGGATGTGATTCTAGGAGGCATCCCCTGAAAAGCACACGGCCGTCCCCACTTTTTCTAAGGACACTGACACTCACCGTGTTTCAAGTGTACCCCTTACAAGCATCACAACCAACAAATGATACCTGTTTATTTGATAGCTTTGTTTGTGGAATATTCCTAGGAGATCTGAATCCCCACAGAATGTTCCTGCAGACTCCAGCCTTCGGTCTCTAGAGGGCAGGGAGACATCTTTATGATCTGTGCCTGGAAGCTGAGGGTGCCGGGCGAGTGGTTATTGGAAGCCATCCACTCCCTCCAGAGGAGAGCTTTTACGGAGGCCTAATAGAAATTTCTCACAAGGGCCTCCTGTCGGGCTCCTGGGTCATGAAGGGGACAGTCTGACAGCGAGAAGTGGACAGACTGCCTTCCGTTCCCTGCTGGCCACCGACTTTGCTTTCCCCACCTGCAAAAAAAAAAAAAAAAAAAAGGGGGGGGGACAAAAGTCTCTAGGTGCAGGTGCACTTGGAAGGATGAAGTGGTTAGAGAGAGAAAGGTGCTTTGTCCGTCTGTCCCGCAGAGCAGAGGTGGGGCACAATAGACGCTGGTCTGCTCCCCACCCCACTGCCGACTCCCTGTTTGGAAACAGAGGGAGGGGCTGGTCCAGCAACAGAACTTTCGGGAAGGAGATGGAGAGACGCCTTGTGTACGTCTGCGTGCGACAGCCCAGGCACAGCAGAATTAATCCTTCAGGTGGGGACACCCAGATGTCTCCAAACAGAGATGACAGGTCCTGGTGGGCAACCATACCAGAGAATTCCCAGTCCCCCAGCCCAGGGGTCTTGGAGACCCCGGGGGACCTCAAAGACCTCCAACCCATGCGCAGGGAACCAAGAGATCATCTAGAGTAGCTAGCGACTCTCAGTTGCACACACGAGGAAACTGAGGCCCAAACAGGGTGAGCGGCTTATCCAAGGCCTCCCGGGCGGGCCCAGCGCCTCAAATTCTCAGAGGCCCCGCTCTGCCATGGGATGGGATTAGAAATGGACCCCTTCTGTGGTTTTACCCGAGCTCCCTGCAGATCCCTGGTGTTACAGCTGGAATGTCACTTCTCGGAGGGGTCATCTCCAATCTCTTCCCAGGGGACCCTTCTAGGGGCCCAAGACATCTGTTCCGCTGGCCAACTTGCACATGTCTTGTGCACGTGTCTCCACTGCACCCTGCTTTGGAGATCTGTCAGCCTCCCTCTCTTGTGCTCCTTACCCGCGGTCCCGAGGGCCAGGCGCGGGGGCGCTGAGCGATGGGCTCACCGGTCTCTTCTCGCAGCATAAACCCGCCAGTCAGAAGTGGACCACGTAGGCTCTTCAGCGCTCTGCTCGGCACCAGCCCATCTTCCGTGTCCCCCTGGTCTCTTCCTGTCCATCCTCCTGGGTTCCGGTGACATACCCAGCTCCCAGACATCACTGCAAGGGCTGGACCCCGTCTGCCTCACCTGCTCGTCCTACGGCCTGTCATCGCTCCCTGCGTGCCACAGACACTCCTGGAGCAGCAGGTGCGACGCGGCAGAGTGCGAAGGAGGCCCTGGCTTTAATTCCAGTGCTTCCACCTAGGAGCCGTGTGGCCTTGCGGGGCGGGGCGGGGGAAGGTGGGCGACTTGACCTCTACAGGCTTCAGCTTCCTTGTCTGCAAAACGGGGGACCACACGCCCAAGCAAGGTGGATGGATTACAGGAGACAATGTCACACGACAGGGCTCAGCAGAGCGAATGGTGCATAGCAGGCGCTCAGCTGCCGGGGTCTCCCCAGTGACCTGTCTGGGATCTGGTCACCGTCCACCCCACCCACATCCCTTCAGCCTTGGGCCTTCCGTGATGACCTCCTGGCCCTGTACCCGCCACCCCACCCGCAGATTTTCTTTTCCTCCCGAGGAATGGCTGTGTGGACTACCCCAGGCCATCTCACACTGGGACCTCAGCCTGCCTGCGCGCTCGCCACTCTCCCACCAGGAAGACCCACCCCCCTCTCGAGTAGCGCCTCCTAGTGGAGGCCACGCCCACAGGCGAATCCATCCCTCCCACAGGCGGATCCCACTGCTCCCAGGGACCTACGAGTCCATTCGTCTGTGCGTGCGTGCGACAGTGCCATCCCCATCTGCTCCGTTGCGGAGTCTGTAGGACTCCGCACGGGCTGGGCACACCCACGGGCCCTGGGCAGCCTCTCGCAGATCGAAAGGACACCGAGACGTGCCCAGGAAGGGAAACTGGATGTATCCTCCGGATCAAACGGTTCAGTGAAAAGTAGCGATGCTTCCCGGGCTCCCGGTGTGCCCACTCAGCTCCCTCCTTGGTGTCTCTTCCCTCTTCAAACCCAACGGAATCCCCCCCACCTCCCGCCACGAGGCATCAGGCCCTGAACCGGCTGCCGGGCTGCCTAAGAGTAAAGCAGCATAATTATATCTTAATAATTGTTTTGCAGCATAGGATTTATAATTACTAAATGTGTGATAACTGCTCTTTAAATGCCCATGCTCTTTAAAAAACCTAATTTATAATTTACAAAGCTGACACTTCTCCCAGCGCTTTATTTTATCTTGTCGGGAGTAATGGAAGGCTAAGTTATTGAAAACCTTTATTTTTCATTAGCCTTAAATTCAACGACAATTAATGTGCCCAATTTGATTATAAACTGCACAAATTAAACAATAAAGAGCTGTCTAATGAGAAATTAATTATGAGGAAGGGAAGGGGACCTGGGCTGGATAAAAGCAATAACTTATGGCCCGTGGCAGGACGTGTCAGGTTTTAAAGGAGATGAAGGGCCCTCTCCTCAATGTGTGTCTTTGCTGATAGGACCCATCACAGATCACTTGATCCAGAAACCATAACAGGCTAGTAATTGAAACCGCCAAAATCAATAGTGCTGACAGCCTTAATTAAATTAAATATGGCTGTGATGGGCTCCCCGCGCCCGGCAGCGATGGGCCACTTGACCCTCCGGCTGAGCACGCCTGATCGAGTGGAGCCGTGGCGTGATGGATCTGACCCCAGGGGACAGTTGGGGACCGGGCTCCCGCACAAACAGGCTCTGAGAGGAAGGGGGCCGGCCCCCCACCCCCTGCTGCCGGGCCGGGGCCAGGATGCTTTCCCCCCTGGAAGGGCTGGCTCGTTCTGTTGGAAGTCGGGAGGGGGGTGTCCTGTGACATCTAACCGGGGGGTGGGCAGAGAAGCCTCCCAAGTCGGAGGAGGCAGGAGTTGAAGGCGCTGGCGAATCCCTCTGTGACGAAATGGGGCTGCTCACCCCCCCTCCCGGGAGCACACCGCTTTTGCTTCCCACCGTGGCCAGCAAGAGAAATCAGACAGGCGTGAGTGTAAATCTCAGATCCGCCGCCTAGGACGCCGGGGACCTCCCACACGTTCCTCACCCTTGCCGAGCCTCGCTCTCCTCTTCTGTAAAATGGCTACATGTGGCCAGCGAGTTGTAAGAGATGGTGCCTCAAACGCACGGCGCAGGATCAGGATGCGGGCTCCGGCTCAGGGCAATCGCTGGATGAGCCAAGGAGCTCGTAGCGGCTGCTGTCGCCGCCGAGGATTGCCTTCCCGTCTGGCAGGGAGCAAGTAGAAGCCCGGAGAGGTAACTTCAGTCGTGCAGCTCATGTAGACTCGGAATCAGCACCTCTGACCCTGAGCCAGGGTCCTTTCTTCATCGCGGTGGTGCCGCCTGAGAACGAAACACGTTTAGTGTTTGGCAAGTGCTTTTCTCTTGCTCCCCACGCGGGATCCTGACCCGTGAGAAGGGTATGGGGTTGTCAGCTCCATTTTACAGACGAGAAAACTGAGGTTCAGGCTGGTTAAGGAACCTGCCCAAGGTCATACGGTCAGTGGAGCAAAGGCTAGCACCTTGCCAACCCAGGGGCCCAGTGATGGAAACCAGACACCGACGGAGGAACCCTAAATCCCTGGCTGGGAGACCTCGTTCACACACACACTGCCAAGCTCCTAGGATCTGCGGCCTTCCCTCCTACCCCAGAGCCCTGACCGAGGGCCCGTCTTGCGAAGAAGAAGAAATATGAAGCCACTGGCTCTTATCGCTCCTTTTCCCCAAAACATCATCAAGTTAATGAGATTGAAAAACCGTGGAGCCATCTAGGTCACACACTCCCCTCTGGTCGGCACTGCAGATTTGGGGTTTAACAACGTTCCGTCCCTTCGAGACAGCCTATGGCAAATCAGCAGGACACAGGGGAGCAGAGACAGCTCCGGATCCTTCATCGAAAGCCTTGGGTGGTTCCTGTCCTGCCTCCATCATGTACCGGCTGTGTGACCTTGACTATGTGACTAAACCTCTCTGATTCTCCCCTCTACATCTGCCCATGGGAGCAAGAGTGGATGTTCTGCCTTCCTCTCAGAGCTGATGTATCACCGAAGCAGCGAGGCCCAAGAAAGAGCTCCATCAACCCGACAGTCCGCCCAAATGGTATCTCCTGTGTCTGAGATCAGACGCTGATAGTCTGCTCGCCTTAGCTGTGGGTTGACTGGAAGCAAAAAGGACGTGATCGCTTTCTGAGATAGTGTTATTTCCTTACCAAAGGAAAAAAAAAAAAGAAAGAAAGAAAGAAAAAGAAAAAAAAAGACAAAAGAAAATCAATGATTACAGAAAGAAAAAACAAAACAAAACAAAAAAAACAACCCTGGCCCGATAAACATTGGTTTTCAACATAGGAAGCTGAACAAATAAATATCTTCACGGTTTGCTTGGCTGTCGGCTGGCTTGAGCTGACTTCTTAAAGGACACGAAGTAGGGTAACCCAATGTTTATGTCAGCGCTAACAAACTGTCCCTTCATTACAGGCCTGCCGGAGATCAGAGGCCCAGATTATTGAAGGAGACGCCTCTGAGATGCCCACGCGGTTGCCGTGACAACTCCCAGAGGGCGGGAGGGGGGGCCGCTGGTTGTTGGCGGGACAGGCTCCAGGCTCTCCAGCCCAGAGTGGGGGTGATCCCGCCCCGGGCCGCTTGGCAGGGGGCTCTCTGCACCTTCAGTGCCTGGGCCGGCCCGCCCCCCGCCCCGGGGCCACGGAGGCTCCGGTGAACGTGAAATCTTGGAGGGCAGCGGGGAAGCCGCCAGGCTGTGCAGGTCAATGCCACTTTTCTTAAGGCCGGTTACCCCACTGGGGTAAACACTCCCAACAATGATGGCCGCCATGTGTCATTCAGGGCTCCTGAATGGCGCTGAGAGACTGGGCTTTGCGTCAGAGCGATCTGTGTTGAATCCCAGTCCAGCTGTGTGACCTTGAGCTAAGTCATTCAACCTCTCTGAGCCTCAGATCTAACAGCTTGTGCCTCATAGGTTTGCTGCGAAGGTCACGGGCACCCCTGTTCCAGGCGCCACGCGGCGGTCAAGCCCGCGGGCTCTGCGGCCGCACAGCATCGGGGGCTGGACTGCAGCTGGTCTGGCGCGACCTTGGGCAAGTTGTCTATCCCCTGGAACCTCAGTTTCCTCATCTAAAAAACAGGGAAGGGCGCCTGGGTGGCTCGGTCGGTTAAGCATCCAGCTTCAGCTCAAGTCATGATCTTGCGGTTGGGGAGTTCGAGCCCCGCCCTGGGCTCTGTGCTGACAGCGCAGAGCCTGCTTGAGATTCTCTCTCCCTCTCTCTCTGCCCCTCCCCTGCTCGCACTCCCCCTAAAACAAATTAAATAAACATGAACACCAAGTAAATGAAAATTTAAAAATGGAGAAAAAAGCACCCAGCTCAAATGAACTGATAGACGTAAAGCACCAAGGTAGCAGATAAATATTATTACTCAGTACCAGAAGCATCAGACCACGAGGGTCCTGGCGTCCCCAGTCTACACTCTAAGAGGAATCCAAAGCTGCCAGGGGCCCGATGCCTCCTCCGAGGGAGATCGCATCATCTTGCTGCAACTTACGTCCCGGCATGTCTGAGCGCAAAGCCAGTGCTCAACTCATTCCGCTGTGAGCCACGGTGGCTGCTATGGGGAATCATACTGCACACACACACACACACACACACACTGCCCTACAGCATGAATTGCCAGGGAAATTACGGATACCCTGGGGAAAAAATTGCAACATGGGAGAAGAGCCCTCACCGAATCACAGTCCCTCGGTCACTGACTCAGGTAGCCGCTAGCCACAGACCACACTCACCCTGCAGCTCCTCCCGGGCTCCAGGGTGAAGGGAGTGAATGGCATTTGCTCTCCTGGCCAGGAGCTGGGAGCTGCGTGAACCACAGTAAAATGCAGAGGGGCGATCAGCTTGATGGGGGGCAGGTGCTTCTTCACCGAGCCTGGCTACGGAATTCACCCGAAAATCTCTCCACTAATTCATTCATTCATTCATTCATTCATTCATTCATCTGGCGTGGACCACCAGGGGTGAGAAGGAGTCTGAAATCAAAGCCCCGATGAGATACCCGTCAGTCAGGATGGCTGCTTTCAAAAAAAAAAAAAAAAATGGGGCACCCAGGGGGCTCAGTAGGTTGAGCCTCCGACTCTCGGTTTCGGCTCAGGACGTGATCTCGTGGTTTGTGAGTTCAAGCCCGCGTCGGGCTCTGCGCTGTCAGTGTGGAGCCTGCTTGGGATTCTCTCTCTCCCTCTCTCTTTGCTCCTCCCCTATTAGCACTCTGTCTCTCTCAAAATACGTAGATAAACTCAAAAAAAAAAAAAAAAGCAGGAAGTAATTGCTGGTGAGGGTGTGGAGGATGGGGCTCTCGTATGTTGCTGGTAAGGTGATGAAACAGGGCAGCTGCTGAAGAAAATAGTACGAGGAGTCCATAAGAACATAAACACAGAATCGCCATGTGACCCAGCAATGCCACTGGGCATGCACCCAAAGAATCGAAGGCAGGGACTCAGAGATTCGCACACCCACATTCACAGCTTATTTACCATAGCCTAAAGCTGGAAACAACCCAAATGCCCACCAGCAGATGAATAGATAAGTCAATGTGGTCTAATCCATCAGCTTTAAACAGGAAGGACAGTCCAACACCTGCTACCACATGGACGAACCTGGAGGACATTGTGCTCAGTGAATTAAGCCAGTCACAAAAGGACAAACCCTGCATGCCTCCACTTATATGGGGTCCCCAGAGAAGTCAGATGCATAGAGAGAAAGTAGATGGTGGGTGCGGGGGGCAAGGGGAAGAGGGGACACGGGAAGTGAGTGTTTAATGGGGCTAGAGCATCAGTTTGGGAAGATGAGAAAGTTCTGGAAGCAGAGGGTAGGGATGGTTGCGCAACACTTGAATGGGCTTAACGCCACTGAAGTATACGCTTAAAACCGGTTAAAATCGTGGGGCGCCTGGGTGGCTCAGTCGTTGAGTGCCTGCCTCTTGACTTCCGCTCAGGTCACCATCTCCTGGTCCGTGGGTTCGAACCCTGCCTCGAGCTCTGAGCTGACAGTGCGGAGCCTGCTTGGGATTCTCTCTCTGTCCCTCTCTCTCTGCCTCTCCCCAACTCGTGTGCTCTGTGTCTCTCTCTCTCTCTCTCAAAATAAATACGCTTTAAAAAATGGTTAAAATGGCAAAGTCTATGTATAATCGATCACACACACACAAAGAAGTCTGGACAAGAAATAAAAGACACAGTGGATGGAACAGCCAGTTCTAAATATCAGGGGCTAGACACAGACCAACCCATCAGCCGGCCGCAATCCACGAGGTGCCTACTGTGTGCGGAAGCAGGGAGGGGGAGGCAGCGAATGGGATGAAAAAGCCACTTCTGCGGTGCGTCACGAGCCTTGTTAGAATGCTGTTCCAGATTCAGCAAGGCTGGGCTCTGATTTCTCACCCGCAAATCTAACCAGCTCCCAGGTGATGCTGAAACGCTGACGCTGTGCATGGAGTACAGAGTGCTCAGCGCGGGTGTGGACGTGACCCTTGTGTGCCTGCTTGGCTCACTCAGAGGGGCCCTGCAGGCGGGAAGGCGGACAGAAGCTGGGTGTCAAACAGCTGAACCACTGCTTTCTTGCCGGTAGAGCCCCGACTGCAGGGGCTGAGAGACAGAGAAAAGGGATTGAAGAGAGAGTCAGAGAGAAGAGATTTAAGACTGGCTCATGCGATTTAAGGGCCGGCAGCTCCGAAATCCGTAAGGCGGGCCGGCAAGCGGGAAAGAGCTGATGTCGCAAGCTCGAGACCAAAATCCGCAGGCCAGAAGCTCAGGCGGGGTTTCTGTGACGCGGTCTTTGAGGAGAATTCCTTCCTCTTTGAGAAACTTCGGGCTTTGCTCTCAACACCTTCAGCTGATTGGGTGCGGCCCACCCACATCGTGGAGGCTCATCTCCTTTACTCAAAGTCCACGGATCTAAATGTTCATCGAGTCTAAAGTGTAACCTTGACTGCAACCCCTAGACTGGTGTTGGATCAAACAAGCCGGCCCATAGCCTGGCCACGTTCACGCATAACATTAACCATCATGCGGCTCACTAGCCAGCACCTGAGTTCTCTGGCCCTCAGCACCCGCCTCGGTAGAATGGGGATAAGCAAGGTCACGGCACACGGTGACTGGGAGGCCTCAAATCAAGTCAAAATGAACGCTTGGCACGCTGGAAACAAGAAACAAACGTTCTGCCTTCCCAGCCTCCGCACGGGGCCCTCCGAGCCGGGCCTCACGCAGGACCCCAAGGGCCTGTGCTCCCCTAGGGAGCCCAAGTAGGCGTGGATGGCAAGAACCAGGCCCGGGCTGACAAAGGTAGG